GCGAGAAGCTACTAGGGGCTCCTGGCCTTACTACTAGGAGCAAAGGACGCTACTAGGAGCAAAGGGCGCACAAAGGGCACATCATTGGTTATAGCGCACTAAGGCGTCGAACTTGCCACAGAAGATCCATGCCGTGAGCAGTCTACTCAAGCGAAAGTGCTCTCACCGCTTTGAAGGTAGCTAGTTAAGCTAGTAGCAGTGGCCCTCCATCCTATATGCTAGTAGCAAATAGCTTAATTATTTTCCGTGCAAACTGAGACGAGGCAATGGTGTGTCGGTCTTTGAGACAAACATCCGAGTGCAACTCGGCGAACACTTGGCGCTTCTTGCAGCCTCTCTCGGCCCTTGCTAGGCTCGGAGGTCTCTTATCTGCACATGATCTTTCAAAGGACGCATTGGCTAAAAGAAAAAGACAAGACAAAGAAAGAACATGACGAATCATGACGAAAGCAAGAAGGCTACTATGTTGGAGGCCATCACTACTAGGTCACTAGGTTGGAGGCCATCGCTACTAAGGTGGAGGCCCTTACTACTAGTAACAAGAAGGCTACCAGTAACTAGTAGCAAGAAAGAGACGACTCGAACATCAGACCTGGCAGGACAAAACCTTTTTGGATCTGGCAGACAAGTTGGGCTCGGGCCCCACTCTGGGGAGGATTCATGTGTACTGCCCTTGACTCTAGGAAGACAATCGGAAAACAGAAGGGAAGGGCCTCTTTAACAAGGCCTCTTTAAAGAGGGCCTTATTCAAGATGCCCTTTTTATTGTTCTTCTTTTTTGAGAATCATAGATCAGGACGAAGAATCCTGTCGACCGTGAATCCTCGAGGATGGCCACGGGTCTACTGGGAAGTTTTCGTCATTTGTTTCATTTTCGATTATGTTCCTTTTTGAGATATTCAGACCTGTTCTTTTTACGGCTTTAGGTGTCCTTTTTTTGTGTTCTCATTCTGTCAACAAAAGCTTGTGCAATCAATGGTATATCGCCAATGACAAATCTCTTCAAGGAATCACACCCTACACGTTTGGAGGTGGACGTGGAGGCCCTTTTGGCATTGTGTCAATTGAATTATGTCGTCATTCCATGCCCATGGTATACAAATATGAAAAAAGTGCTAGAAAAGAACAGACGTACGGTACGATATGTTTCTCGCGGTTGGAACAGTGTAACAGCCTAGCTCTACAATGAATACTTCTCGAGAATGCAGTTTCTACAAGAAAGATCACTTCAGCACCAATCATTTGTGTCATTCACGCAGGGAGCGGATGCCCAAGCCTGGCGGAATCTGGAACTCTTCAGTGGCTTGGTTAAGTTCTAGAGTTCGTCCGTTCTTTTCTCATTATGTTTTTGCTTGTCTCAGGCTGGAAATGAGATACCTCTCCCATGCAACTGGTGATGACACGTTCGCCTCAAAGTCCATGAAGTTCTATGTCAATTTCTCAGTTCCAACAGATTGCGTTTTTGCAACTGTTGTGCAAACTCGAAGGTTGGCTTGAACATACTTTTGATTGATAGTCAGGTTGTTTTCGTTGCAGCATCGTGCTTTGCTGCGGAATGCAGGAGACTGTGCAAGGTGCAAGGTCCTTGGACGGGCCATTGTCCCAGCTTCCCTCTTCTTCTTTGCCTTTATCCATGGCAATGTTGTGGCATTCTTGACACATTCTGACACTCAGACTGTGGCCAAATTGCTTTGAGAAAGGGAAAGGGAAGATAACTTTCGGTCGGAGCCTCGCATGAATGTTCAGTTCACTGAAGCTTCTTTACCATCAGCAGCATGAGGTGCTGATGGGGACTCCTTTTACGAGTACTTGGTGAAGGCACACGGAGCGTTGTTTTTCTTCTTCAAGTCGTTCTTCGCAAAGCCGCCTGAGATATCAGGTGTGGTTGCAGGGTGGCAAGAGAGAGAATGAAAGCTTCCTCAAAGGCACGATTGCAACAGTTTCTACTGGTTTGCTTCTCAATACATGACCGGACATGCAGGAATGTACGACAAGGCAGTGAAAGGGCTGCAGAAGCATTTGGTGAGGAAGGGTACTGAATCTTGGCTCCGCATAGCTGCAAGCTGCAAGAGGCCTTCACGGGATTTGCTTGAGAAAACCTAAGGATGGCCTCAGCTACTTGGGAACTGTAACTTGGGATGCGAATTCTGGATCGACATCCTACATTCCGGACTGCTTCGGCCGCCTTCTGGTGAGCAACATCATAAAAGCTAATTAAGAGTTAAGCCAAAGATATTTGATTGGAAGCGAGCTTTGCTATCTTACGGCCAAAACAACTCTACATCCTCAGAGACACGATTGTCAGCATTTCCTTGATATGGGTTTTGCTGCCCCTTGCAGTTCAGAGCTTCCTGGCCCTTTGATGTGCTTTGCGCAGCTCGTGAGGAAATGGAGCACTTGATGTGCTTTGTGCCTGGATGGTTAGCACTTGGTGCACAGCACAGCGAAGACAGGCTCCTGAAGCCGATCCATCTGAAATGGAAGGGACATATATACTGGCATAGGTGGCCTAGAGTTGCAACCAGTCTGACAGAGTTACCAACCTTTGTGCGATACTCGTGGAATTTTGATTTGCTGCGCGGTGACATGCACAAATGTCTTGACGGCAAGGGCGACCGTTATGGAGCTCGCTGATGCCATTGCACCTTGGATGCGGTAGCGGTGGCCTCCAACCTCATAGTACCCAAGAGTTGGCCCGTGTTTAAGTGCTTGTACCGCCTGGGTCGTAATCCCACCAGAAGCCAGAAGGAGTCCTTTCGCCAAGGCAGTGTGTAGGGGTTCTCGCAGTGTCCGTCTTCAGATCAAAAAAAGAAAGAACAGATCTAAAGACCAATAGGAAAACGGTCTAAAGAAAAAGACGGAGGAAAACGTCTAAAGAACAACATTTAGTTTCTCTACCTTTCTTCCAGTTCCTATTGTTTTCGGGTCTGGACCGATCTGATAGCTCAGTGTATTTTCATGTTGACAATGCCCATGGACTGGGATCCCCATTCCTTTTTGCAATCAGTTCAACATACAAAGGTCGACAGAGTCAAGAGAAAATTTGAAGGTCGACATTTTCGGAAGTCTGGAGATTGTCAGAGTCCAGAGACCAAAGGTCAGTGTCAATCGGACCAGATTGCTAGAGACTGAAGCTGAGATAGCTAGAGCCTCAAAGAGACAAAGAGCCTCAGATAGCTGGAGACAATTAGAGGTAGAGGCTAAGGTAGCTAAAGAATAAGACTGCTGAAGACTCCAGGTGGGGCTAAGCGGCTAGACCAATAGAACTAGAGACTAAGATGAACTTAGACAACATTTGACACAAAGTAGTAAAATACAGACAGCTAGGGACAAGAATATCTAGAGACCAGAAAAGCTAGAGTCTAGGATGCTGATGGAGGCTGGGAGACTAAAATATGCACTTGTTACTAGTAGCTTCTTGTTACTACTAGTAAGGCACTTGTTACTAGTAGCGATGCACTTGTTACTACTAGCGTGGCACTTGTTACTAGTAGCGATGCAGATAATGCTAAAGATGACAGCTGGAGACTCAGATCGGTTTTGTTACGGATGTGAGCTTGGGAAGGCTCAGTGGCGTTGGAGGCCATTGCTTCGGCATTTTTGTGCAAGAAGGACTTTCTTTTTCGTTGTGCATTGCTGTGATGTTTGGTGTGTTGTGATGCAGTGACATGCAATATGGTGCTTGATGTTGGGCCACTTGTGGTGAGGCGTGAGTTGGTTTTTCCTGGTTTGCCACTTGATGAGAGGTCATATTTGTATGTATTGGTGGTAAGAGGCCATCGCTAGTAAGTTGGAGGCCATCGCTATTAGGAAAATGTGTGGTGATTTGGCATTGTTTATGTTGTGATGGGCATACTAATCTCTGATGACATTGGTCGGTGCGACGATTGGACACCAATTTGCTTGCAGTCCCTATCAAACTGCACAGTACTGTAGGTAACTGACCTGATAGGCAGAACTATTGGCAGAACAGGAAAGAAAGGAAAGAAAGGAAAGAAAGGACGACAGAAAGACAGGTCTGAAGAAAAAGGGGAGCACCAGCTCTTAGGTTGGAAGCCATCGCTATTAGGCAAAAGCAATTAAAGAAAAGGAGGAAGAAGTGAAAAGCAACCTCACCATCGACACATTCGGTCGATTTGAACCCCGTTGCGGATCCCAATCAGTGTGAACTCGCGTTTCGATCCCTCAGCGGCCTACCCCATTGCGGGTTTCCAGCGAATCCAACACTGCAGAGAGGGTTTTCCATCATCCAGAATTGTGTGTCTACCACACATCACATGAACAAGACATCGCGTTTCTGCCTTTTTTGCAAAGATTACCACAGATGGTCCCCCCCAATATGCACACCTAGCATCTCCTTGTTCGTTCGTCTGCTTCCTTTGGGTTTCAGCGCCCCACTAGTAGCGATGGCCTCCAACCTACTAGTGATGGTCTCCCATGTTAATACATACCCAACAGACCCCCCAGTCAAACTCACAGTTGCCCATGCCCTTCATCCACCAAGATCTTGCAATAGAAGTTCCTTTTGCTGACAAAGCCATCTATAATCGAGACATACATGTGGCAGCTAGAAACCGCAAAAAAAGCCACTTCACATGCACGATCCATCTCGGTGTGCATAGCTGTTTCGCATGCCAGTCTTAGTCCGGGTGTGATTTCTTGCTCACATGCGTGCAAGGGACCCATCATGTCACCTGGCCCCTTTGGGAACCCCCTGGAACCCGCGTTGGTTGGACCTGTTGGACCTGTTGTTTTTTACCTGCTCAGCTTGCGTCTGCAAGCCGACCCTCAGCAACTTCAGGCATACACATGCTGGCAAATGTACGAGCAACAGCCAACAGGCCCGAAGCAGAAGTCAAGTGAAGGTAATTTTGTGCTTTGCCACATGGGTCGAATGCAGCTTGAGGCATTTCACCAGAGCGTGTGAAAGGAGAGGCGATGGATCTCAGCAAAACCAACACCCGAGAGTGCTCCGCTGGTTCGCGCATGAAATTAACCCCCAGAATTATAGGGTTCAATGTGAGTGAATGATTGAACACTCACTCAATTCTTTGGTTTGAACATCAAACCCGAAAGGCTTGAGGCTTGAAGCAGGTTGTTTCTTTTCACTCTTCCTTTTATTCGTACACTTCCAGGTACATTTTGCGTCCTGAGGCACTTGAAGGCGTGGAAGATCCACAATGTGAGAAATTCAAATTGATCAACTGCACTTGCAAAGGCTGGTGGTACATGCTCGAGACCACGCAGGATTGGGACCATTTTGATCCTTCACATGGCCTCCAACCTAGTAGCGATTACCTCCAACCGAATAGCAACGGCCTCCAACCTACTAGCAAACTATATTCGACCTTTCTTCCTTTATATTTTTTCTTTGTTTCTATTAGCGATGACCTCCAACCTAGAAGCGATCGCCGAACAGCTTCCGGAGAGGATTCCAAGTTCCGAGAATGGGGCTGGAGAACCTTCATGGCCTTTGAGAAAGACTGCCATGTTTGGAACGAGAGCGAGAACGTCTTTGTCAAACTACTTATCTTGTGGACTTGTTGTGCGGAAGCCAGACGTTTCTACGATATTCCAAAAGTAAATGAAACTCAGGCTAAATTTCGTTGCCACTTTGGTCAAGCATTCCATTCTGGATATGCAGTCTGTTTTATGGTATTTTGGAGGGCCTAGAGGGCCTACAAGGGCCTAGACGGCCAAAAGGGCCTTCGTTTTTAGGTCTTCCGTGCATGGATGCGCCAGCATTGCCTTTGCCCGAACTATGGCGCCTACGCACGCCATCCTCCTTGGTGCGTGGTGTGGCATTGTTGAAAGATGTGGGAGCAGCTGGTGGCGGTGTGAAAAGCGTCGCTGAAATACGAGGACCTGGGATAGCTCCTGTGGATGGCTTGGCCGAAATCCTATTCCCAACAGGTCTTCCATCAAGAGCTATGAGCTTTTCCACTGTGATGACAGATAGCTTTACACATCGGACTTATGTGGGTGTCCAAATTAGCAAACAAAACGAACATGGCGATAGTCCTGATGGACTTTCGAAGCCTACTTTGGCTACTTGTGCCTGGTCCGAGCTTCCGGAAGTGGCCGCACCACACTTTTTGAAGCTCATGGAAGCCGTTCAGCAACATCCAAAGTGCGCCCAAATCTGGGCTTGGCTCGTGAATGATGTACCGGCACCACCCCCAGGTACTGCTCTGGTTTTGCATGGAATCACGGTTTCGGGTCTATGCGCGGCATCGCGAGTTGCTCCTGCATGTCTTCCAGCAGTCCATGTCCCCTTGCAGCATCTCTTGACACGATTGAGTGTATCATCCGTGGTCTTGCTGACCCGCTTGTTGCTCTTGGAACAGAAGGTGCTTTTTGTTGGCTCATCTGTTGCACTGTTGACATCAGCATGTGAAGCCTTCTCGTCAATTCTTCTGTTTCCTTTGGCATGGGTGCATTGCTACAATCCACTCTTGCCATCCACAGACTATTTAGCCACACCACCACCTTTCCTTTTTGGCTGCTTGCGTGAGATCATCTTGAAAGAGACCTTTGCCGATTCCAACGACCTTGCCACCAGCGAATTGCTCGCTCCACTCAGCCAGAGAGACTTTACCATCTTCGATTTAGACACGGGCGACGTGTATGTGGCTTTCTCTCATGGAGAAGATCATTTGCCCGATCTTCCAGATGCAGCCCAAAGTCGGCTGCGATTCAGCTTTACCGAGCTGAGATCTCAGCTTGAAGCACAGCATGATGTGTGGCAGCAAATTCCAGGTAGAAGTACAGGATTTACAGAACCTGAGAACTTTGGAGATGCCGTACAAAAGATCTACTTGACCTTTATGGCCGACCTCTTGGGGGATGTTGCCGGTTCTTTGGGGCCTCAGTGCGACACAGCAACTGCAGCCTCAGTGCTTAGTTCTTTTCAAGAAGGCCATTTCCTCTCAGGTGTGTCAGCCAAGGACAAGCCGTTTTTTGAAGCCTTGATGCAGACCAATGCCTTTCTTGCCTATTTGCAGACTCTGCACCTCTTTGGCACCTCGGAGTCTCCATTTGCCGAGGCCCTTCGAAGTTTGGGCCACAAGAGGAGCGCTTCGCGCTTGCCACTTCCGCCTCCTCGTCCTCGTGAGGGAGCTGTGAGTCCGAGCGCCATGGTTGTGTTGAAGCCGGGAGCTCCAGCTGCGCCTTCTGGAGCGATGGACACTGCGAGTGGTGCAGCTTCTGCTCCCCTGCAGCTCCATTTGTGCTTTCCAAGCTCCCATATGGAGCTGGAAATTGTGCTTTCCAAAGCTGGAAAGGAACGTCCCGAAGAGATCCTTGCCTTCTCGAAATGCACATGGGCCGCTGTTCATGGCACCAAGGTGGAGACAGCAAGTGGATCGGACAAAACACATCGAAGTGCAAGTGAAAGCAGCGAGCTTTGTGGGTCCGACCTGATTCTTGGCTTTCGGAAGGCTGCAGAGGAAGAGAGAGAAAATTATACTGGAAGCTGGGAGAAGCTCTTGAGTGATTTGTACAAAGTGGACAATGCTGACAAGATTGAAACTCCCGAACATCGTTGGTCTCTGTTGCTTCTATATGCAGCTCTCTCAAGAAAAATGGGCGCTTCAAAGGAATTCTTATTGAAAGCGCACTTGGCGATTGATCGTCCAGCTGCGGTGCCTACGCACCGGATGCTTGAACTGATGAATGGCATCGAGCCCCACAGCCTGTCAGACCTCTTATCGGAGGCGGATGAACAAAGCAAATGCCTTCGCCATGTTTCACACATTGAAGAAAGCGAATCTTCGAGGAAAGGAAATGCTTCGGCACGCTTTGCTCGACGACTTCTGGCCATTTCAAACCCCTCAGCTTTGGCATCAGCGGAAGCTGCTAGAGATCCACTCGCTGCTCTTGCATTTGTGTGTCCCGACGAGGAGAACACTCCCGTTGAGCCTCCACTTTACGAAGTGGAAAAAGTGGCCGCACCACGTGTCGAACTCCTACCCTTTAAGGGTCCCAAAGAGACATCAGTGCTGAACCATCGGCGTTTTTGCAGTTGGACAGACCGCAGCCCCGAAGTCTTGTCAGCACAGCTAGTGAGAGATGTGTACCGTGCCTGTGTGGCTGCTGAGAAGGGTTCCAGCAAGGCTTTCAAGCTGCTTGAGAGGTTGAGTGAGCCTTTGGCTGAATTACAGTGCTGTAGTTTGCAGGGAAAGAATCACGATGTCCGCTTAAGCTTTTGGCTGAATTGCCTCAATGCGGCAACACTCCTTGCAGCTTTGGCTCCTGCACGGATTGGTATTCCAGAGCGACCTTCTCAAGCCTCAGATTGGGCAGAACTCATCAGAACTGCCCAACTGGAAGTGCAAGGTGAACTTGTGAGCCTGGCGGACATGGAAGAAATCATCCGATCTCAAAACGAGGTCTCAACACAAGATCCCATTCTCAAAGACGACGAAGGACGAGAAGGACGAGTGAGCTACGGTCGCTACGACGAAGGTCGCGACGAAGGAGCGACGAATCGCGGCGACCAATCGGGGCAACCATCTTCAGCCGTTCTTCGTTCCTTTCACCTGAAACGTCCCGTTCCCTTGGCGTCTTTTGCAATTCATCGGCCAACAGCACGTGGCTTTCCACCCTTACGTGTTTTCCAGGCCAAGCACCTTCAAGCTCAGCTAGAGCTGAATGCAGCGCAATTCCTGGCCACAGAGATGCAGCTGGACTTTTGGCGCAAAAAGGCAGGCCAGTTGAACAACTGCTTTGCTTCGCTTTGCACCTGTTTCTAAAGGACTTTTTTCAACCATAGAGACACTGGTCCAAAAATTCTATAGGGCTACACACCGATTCCGCAAACATCCCAAACAAGATTAGGATGGAGCTTTGAACGTGTTTCTGATTTATATATTGTTTCTACTAGCTTCTTGTTTCTACTAGTAAGGCACTTGTTACTAGTAGCGATGCACTTGTTACTAGTAGCTTATTGTTTCTAATTATAATTAAATTCTAATTTATATATTGTTTCTACTAGCAACCATTGTTCCAAGTAGTAAGGCCCGATCGCTCCGTTCGTAGTACGGCCAGGAGCCCCTAGTAGGGTTCTTGTTCCTAGTAGCGATGCCCTTTCCTACTAGTAGCGTTCTTGTTCTTTTCTTTTTGAAGGTGACTCTACCGGAGAGCCTCCGGTGGCATTTGGCCGACTTTGGGGGGGAAGCCAATTTGCTGGAGAAGTTCTCGAGCCTTCTGAAGCATGCTCCTGAACAGGCACCGGCCGTGTTTTCGCTGTCGCTTCGGAAAGGAACACACCGGGTTGTTCCATGTTGTTCCCTTCTCCCTTCTCCCTTCTCCCTTCTCCTCCCTTCTGTTTTCCTCGTGTTTTTCCGTTCGAAGTGCTTCTGGAGGCCGAGCTCTTGAAGGAGACCTTACCCGAGCTCCCGAACCTGGGTGATCGTCCAGATCGACTCCGTATCGAGTATCAGGAAGTCCAATGGACGTTTCAGATCTCAAGTGCTCCGTTTCAGGCCAACTTCACCAGCAAAAGAGACTTCTTCGTGTTGAGCAATTTTCTGAGCGATTTTCAGAGCGTTTTTCGGACAGTGAAGTTGTAAAAACGTCGCAAGCTCGACTTCACATGCAAGGAAGTGGTTGTGGGTTCCAAATGGGTATGGACCTCTGCTTTTTCACCGGACCACCGGCACACACCGTGCTTTTTTTGCGCGTCCTAAGGTACGCGTCTCTGAAAGATGTGCGTGCAACGTCCAAGAATTACTTGGACAGGACTGAAGAAGACGAAGTCAGACGCCTTTTCCTAGGAACAAGTGCATCGCTTCTAGTAACAAGTGCCTTACTACTAGTAACAAGAAGCTACTATTAATTTAATTGGAATCAAAATAAAATTAGTAAAGGTTTTCTTCAGAGGTTAGTAATGTGATCTTTTCGTCACAAGCTGTGATCTTCGGAGGTTAGTAATGTGATTGAGATGGGGCACAGGCTTACTCTTCCCAAGTTTTCCCTTTGCACTGTTATAGGATGGAAAGCTTTTTCATTGCAGAGACTCAGAAGTACCTTCTGCTACTGCAGGCGGAGAATATGTCTTCAAGCGCATGTCTTGTGATCAAATATCCATGTCTTTTGTCGCTACTAGTAACAAGCAGCTACTAGTAGCTCCTGGCATCACTACTAGTAGCTCCTGGCCTTACTAGGAGCAAGGACGCTACTAGGGGCTCCTGGCCTTACTACTAGGAACAAGAGGACGCTACTAGGAGCGCTCCTGGCATTACTACTAGTTGTGTCGGCAAGTTGAAGGATCCCGACCACACCATGAAGTTGGACCGCTACGTCTTCAATACAGAGGAGCGGGAGCACCAAACCAGACCGTGGGAGCTAAACCATTCCCCTGGTATTCCATTGGTATTCCTCTGTGCCAGTCTACTCTAAAAGACGACAGAAAGGACCAGGGAAATCAAGAACGGAAGAGCTGCCCAAAAGAGGATTCCACATTCGGCCCTGATCTGGCCAGGCTCATCCACTGTCCATTTTGCAGTCTGAATCGTCCTAAACGTGCACGAATCTGACATCGGCTGTGCCGCGTAGCTGCGTAGCCACAGCAGAGCCGAGCAGACGAGCATCGCTTCAAAAACGGATAGGGAATCAATATGAGAAGCTACTAGTAACAAGTGCATCCCTTCTAGTAGCAAGTGCCTTACTAGTAGAAACAAGAAGCTACTAGTAATTAGAATTAAATTACTTTAAGAATCAAATTCGTTCAAAGAACATTTGGTGAACATTAGTTGTGTAGTTGGAGGCCATCGCTCTTAGGCTGGAGGCCATTTCTACTAGGTTGGAGGCCATCACCATTGGGTTTGAGGCCATTGCTATTAGGTTACTTTAGACTGTGAAGCAATGACTGCGACACTGAGCACTGACACTGATGGAGCACTGATCAGTTGAGTTCTGTCCACTGTCCAGTATTGCGGCCAACTGAGCTCCAAGCGAGATGGCATGAGGAAGACATGAGCCCAACATGTCGCCGAGCCTTTGAACCTCAGTTTTCAGCATTTCTTGGTTTACGGATAGATTCTTGTTACCTAACTTCACTCTGGTTTCGAGTTTCTGGCTTTTTGACTCAAGATCTCCAAGCTGTAGATGTTCCGAAGACTTGCAGCTGCAGCTTTCCAGCTTTGCAGCTCCACAAGCCTTTTCGAGAAACTAAATGCTCCGCCAGCTTTGCATGCCGCCGCCAGCTTGGAGCCTGACAAGGCTGTTCAAAAGAGCTTTCAGAGTCGAAATTTGGACGGGAAGAGGAACTAAGATGAGCGAAGCAGGAGCTAAGCAGGAGCCTCTCGTCGTTGAGGTTGGACTTGGTTCGAAGAAACATGTCTTCGCTGTGAGGCTTTGAGAAACCAATGGCGCCGCAGGACAGACCAGAGGAACGTTGTTGTGAAACCTATCTGATCATCTGATCCATGTGTTTCCAGCCATCAACCTTACCTGTGTGCAACTTCTTGTGACAGTTCCTCTTCATTCTCAACATGGGTGATAGAACATGGAACAACACAGTTTCGTATCCATGGAATTCACTGGTCAGGTGGACTTTGTAGCTGAAACAGCCACGGATTTTGCGTTCGCTTGGAAGGCTCCAGGAAGATTTACTCGGCAGCCACAGCCACAGATGCCGCAGGCAATGGGTCCCGGCTTGCAACGAGAACTCAGGCAACTCATAGACACAAAGAAAGCGAAAGGAGAAACATAGGAAGAGAAGAAATTAGTAGTAATAGCCTCCAACCTACTAGCTTCTTGTTACTAGTAGTAAAGGCCTCCAACGTTTCGGAAGCATGATTGAATCTTTGGAGGCTCCTGGCCGAAGGCCGCCAAGACTACCTGCTCCTGTGAAGAAGCTTTCCAAGCAAAGGGAGTGGTGAGAGAAGATTCAATGGTCAAAAGCAATTGAAGATTTGTCGATTTGGTCTCGAAATTCATGATTTTTCATTTCTTCAGACCTGTGAGGTGAACTTTAGACCTTCTCTTCTTTTCACTTTTGTTTCTTTGCTTTCCATGCCTTTGCAGTTGCACTTTCAAAGCCCAAGGCGAGAAGTTTCTGAATCCGCGTCCCGTAGCTCGCGGCTGCGGGTCTACACAGAAGCGGAGCAGGCACGAGCTGGCTGAGATGAGAGCTGAGAGCAGCTGAGAGTAGCTACGTTTCAAAGGTTTCTTGTTTTTTTTCATCCCCCAAAATGGGTTTAAGATTGCAAAATCGATTCAGTTGGTTTCGGGTCCCGCCTTAAATAGTGAGTTTACGGTAGTGCCGTCTTTCTCGGGATGTACTGATTGAGAAAGCTTGAGAAAGCTGTATTGTTCGCAGTACCAAAGGGCCCATTTTTCATTCTCCCTGCCAGGACGATATTGGCATCTCAACATTGTTGGGTGAATACACCGAGCAAGGCAGGTGTGGAGTGATGATGAGAATACCTTCGCATGAGCGATTCGGTGTAAATCACGGATATCCCACCTACATTCTTGGTTTTACATGTACAAAAAAGGTGCTATTAGGTTGGAGGCTGTCGCTAGTAGGCTGGAGGCTGTCCCTAATAGAAGTGGAAAGCTTTTCAAAGCAACCTTTTGCGTTTTTCCCGAATGCGTAGCGAAGGGTTCTCGTTTATAAGTGGGGGTGTGGGGGGGGTAGGTTGCGTTAATTCCTTCCTGCGGGAAAGGATTTGGAGAGGTTTTTTCGATGGAGGGTGATCGTGTGATCGTCAGATTCATCGCAAATACCGTGTTTTTGGAATGTTGGATTTGGGAGTGTGAATCCCTGCGCAGATGCATAGTAGCAGTAGTAGCAGTAGCAGTAGCAGCAGTGGGAGTAGTAGTAGTAGTAGTAGGAGGAGGAGGAGGAGGAGTAGCAGTAGCAGTAGCAGTAGCAGTAGCAGTAGCAGTAGCAGTAGCAGGAGCAGGAGCAGGAGCAGGAGCAGGAGCAGGAGCAGGAGCAG